CTGCTATACACGAATCAAATCAGCTGATCCTAAATTAATCAATGGGTTTAGAAAACAAAGTATTTTTCAAATGGGCAAGCAGGATTCTTCCATGCATTTTTCAAAGTATTTTTTTAAAAAAACAGGAATGAACATTGGGTTGTGCGTGTGCGTGTGTATATTCAGAAATATTGCTAGGTTTTGAATTTGTGCCAAATGTTACATTGTGCTTGTCTGGCAGTGGAGATTGAAAAACAACACATTGGGGTCCAATGCACTGAAGCAGGACCATTTTATACTGAGCAATGATAAAAACTCATGAAACAAATACCTGAATCTCAACAGAATTTGCAGTAAATTGACCATGCTAATGAAATATTTGAGGGGGGCATCCCCCCAAGTTGATGGGCATTGGCATTCAAATGATGTGTGTGTGCTGCGTCTTGTGATCAGTTATGTGAGGAGGGGCTTACCTGCCCCCCCCAATATTTTATTCAAGTTGGCACCCCTGTATAGGCATTTCCATCTTTGCAATGATTGGTAAAGCTCTTTGGCTTACATAGTGCTTCTTAATACTGAATAAAACCATGGGTTGATTTATCCCAGTACATTGTCTTCTCTCCCTGAAGCAGCAATCCAGGGTCTCAGGGAGAGGACATTCCCATCACCTGCTCTTTCACTCTTTCTTTCTTTTTTAATAACTGAACTTGCCAGGGATTGAACCTGGGACTCTACCTCTGAGCTCTGCACATAGAGGTTGTATTACTTACACAAGACTGCCTTATAGACCTGCAGAGCTTTAGATCAGGGCAATACATTTAGGGCTATGACAACTTTGGCAGGTATACAGTGGCAGAATACTGGATGAATCTAGCCCGTTACTTTTTATTCTTAAAAACAAACAACACTTTGCAGGATCACTAGACCACAGGAAAAATATTATCATGACGGAGAATAACTATACAATCCCCCCTCCCTTTTACTCATTGTGAAAAACGAAGCAGTGTGTTTAAGTGATATAAATGTGACAGCTCACATCCTAAACAAAATACTATAAAATATCTGCTTTCAGTCTTCTACAATTATAATGAAAAATGTCTTCAAGGATTTATAGTTTTATATATCTATATCTTTATATCTTTTAGGAAAGAACTTAGACCTTAACACACACAGCCTGACAATATTAGATTACCCAACACTGTAAACTTTCGATAAGTTTGAAAGCAATGTGTTGAAATCAGGCACTCGCACCGTTTTTAAAATAACAATTACACAGTAGGATATTACATAAAAATAAGAGTAAAATTTATAGATATGAAAAATGGGGGAAAAACCAACAACACCAGAGTGAATTCTTGGTATAGATCTGGAATACCTAACCTGTGGCCCTCCAGATGTTGCTTAATGCAGTTGCTGTTGTCCTTGAGCAGTGTCCATGCTGGCAGTGCAGCTGGTGGGAATTGGGATCTGACAATATCTGGTAGGCCACAGTTAGCCACCCCTGATATAGATGTATACCTGAAGGTCATAAGATAGTTGGACAGTTTGTCCATCTCATCCAGTATTGTCTACTCTGACAGGAAGCAGCTCTCCAAGTTATAAGCAGAGGTATTCCCCAAAACTTGCTACCTGATCCTTTTGACTGGAGAAGCCAGGGACTGAACTGGTCACAGCGGTAAAGTACATTGCTCAGTGATAGATCACATATGGAGAGGCCCTAACAGAGGGATGGTGTTTTGCATGCAGAAGGTCTCGAGTTCACAGGCCCTCCAAGTGTCCCTATTTTCCAGGGATGTCCCTGATTTAGAGTAGCTGCCCCAGTTTCTGATCTGATCCCAGAATGCCCCGCTTTTCCCTATTTTCGTAGGAGAAATGTTGGAGGGTGTGGAGTTATCCAACTCCCGAGCCGTCTGAAGGAATAGGGAAGGGTTTTTTTAAATGGTTAATTTTTTAATGTTTTTATTTATGTTGGAAGCTGCTCAGTGTTGCTGGGGCAACCCAATAAGATGTGTGGTGTAGAAACAGTAAAAATATCATTATTGAATGGGAAGCACCTATTTTCATCAGAGAAATGTTGGAGGGTATGAGTTCAGTACCCAGGATCTACAGGTTGGTCTGGAGAAGACTCCTTTCTGAAACCTTGGAGAGCTTCTGTCAGTCAAAAACTAATCAAAACTGTTTTGTTATGAGGTAGCTTCCAAGGGTTTTACTTGGGATTGTTTGCATGCAAAACATGTGATCTAACGCTGAGCTGTGGTACCCCCTCAAAAGAGCCAGCTATTAACTGCTGTACACTGCCAAGCCCCTATCACTGCTTAGATATTCAGGAAAGTGGGACGTAAGGTTGGTGACACATAGTCTACCACATGCAGTGAATACATAGAGCAACCTGAGAGCCACTACAGACTTTTCTTTTTTTAAAAAACAGCCACTAGGTAGTAAATATACTGTGAATTCACTCAGAGTTACACAAAAACACACCTGTGCAGTTGTGCAACTCTCATTCATTTCAACAGGAATTTCACCAGGGATGCTCCCTGAGTACTGTGCTCAAGACCCAGATAAGAGGTTTCTGCAATGCATCATAGAAACCCAACATTCTCAAGCTGCTGTTTGAACATGAAAATCCCCTGTGATTAAAACAAACAAGCAAGCAAGCAAACAAACAAACAAACAAACAAACAAACAAACAAACCAATCAACAGAATCAATGCTACTTTAGAATATTTATACATCTCTAATTGAACTTTTAAGAAATTATGAAACTTATGAAAAGTGGGGGGCTGAATCCAGAACATTTTCTGTCTGGAAGCGCAAAGGCAAGCCTTAATGTTGCGAAACAAAAGAACCTAGTGCAACAATTGCAACAACAGAAACTTGTTTCACAACAAATCCACACTCACACAAAATATATAGATATCCCAAGTGGTTACCATCTGATGACATTCAATTGCAACCTCTATGTAGGAAATATGAGACCTTTTAAAATCTATTGAAAGCTTCAATTTATACCTGAGACTTTTTTTTGCATATTGAAGTCTTTCATAATGTATGACATTGAAGATCTATATATCATGATACGTCTTAGCAAAAGACCAAAAAGTCAACTGGAGCATATCAATTGACTTCTGTGGTTCAGTTCCAGACCAGCTGGTAAAGGTTCTATGGGCTTAAAAGTAACCAGAACTTAAAGATATAAAATGAAATTAGACAAATTGTACAAGAAGTAGAAGAATACATGGGCTGGTTTTTGAACACCAGTAGATTCCTTCATTGTTACTTGTACTTTTCACAATGAAAGCTTCATCTAACACAATAATAGTATGTGCCAGTTTCCAAAGGTAAAAATGACACTTATAGGCATAGCTTGATCTTCAAAGTCCAACAAGGCACACCAAGTGAATGATTCTCCTGGCTACAGTATCTCTCACATTCAAATTTTGAAAACAAAATTTGAACATGTTCAAAATTCAAAAAGTTTGAATGCTGTTTCTTTTATAATCATGGCCAAATGTTTTGCAAAATTTTGCTTCAGCTAGTAATGATGCATCTACACCAAACTGGTTTAATACTCTGTCCAGGAAACTATAGTTCTGTGGAATTAAAGAACATTATCAGCATTATCAAACAACTGTCATCCCCAGGACCCAGGGCAGGGAGATGGGAAGGCAAGGAATGAGCATAAAAGATCTTTGAGGCAACTTTCCTGGCCATCCAGGTGTAGCCTTTGTACTTAACCTGTCTCCTCCTTGAAATGCTTCTACTTCCCTGTAGTAATTACTAAAGCTTAACAGTTCAGCAAGTCAGCTGAGCACTAGGTATGTCCAGACTGTAAAAAAGACACTACATTTTGGGGGAAGATAGGATTGAGGCCCATTTTTAAAGTTATGGGAGCATTGTGATGGCAGCTGTTCCACAGTTCCATGTCATGTTGCTTCGGTAACTGCAGAAAACACATACGTAGGATGACCAGGCTCACACAAGAAGCTTTGTGATCAACCATATCTCAAGGATCAGAGTGTCAATTACTGAAACAAGTGAGTAGCTTTTACAAAACTTGTGAAGTTCTCTATCAGAATTTGCCATACTGAATTGTTTGGCTTTCCACAGTTTTCTGCAGAACTTCTGAAATTGATTAGATACTTATCACATTAGGTAGCACAGCAACATGGCATTAAAATTGGATCCACTCACGAACCATTCACCATTCAGTGAGGCACTTGGATAAGATTTCCAGTTCAGTTGCACTGATATTATATTCCCCCACTTCAGTGGGCTCGTGCTCTGTACACTTTCACTATGAAATGAGGCATAGAGTCTTCACTCTCTTCGTTTCTTGCAGCTGAGGGACAAAAGCTCAGTTTTGCACTCCAGAATGCATATACAGGTACAACAGATGAATCTATTGAGAATGGAGGACAGAATCACTCATGCCATATTTAGTGATCTTCTAGCCAGAAGACACAGCTCTGTCATCCTGCAGTATTGCTATCTCTCCAGTCGTACTGGAGCCAAAAACTTAAACACCAAGCCTTAAACACCAAGTCTGCACCTCCATGACAATGGAGCCTATTATAACTCAGGTCTGTTCAGCCTACATAAGACTTCAATTGGCTGTGCTCCCTGCAGAGGCAACAACTTCTGTAGCTCCATTAAATGGAGAATGCCATTGTTCCGCTGGAGTTGCCCAAGGTCTTGTTTTCATACCTATCTCCTATCTTTGCTTGTTTAGACTGGACACTGCCAGCTTTCTCCAGAAGCGTCACACTGCCACAAAAGTAGATAATATATTCCAGTCTCCATCCCTATGCCTTGTGCGGGTTTTGCCTCTTAGTCTCTTAGTAGCAACACAGCACTGTAACAAAAGAACAAAAGGCAGGAGTGTAGACTTGATGCTGTAGCCAAACTCACAAACTTTTGCATTTCGGTCCAGGCACACAACATTAGTCTCAGTGCTTGTGCCATTTGTAAGACACTATTGCTTAGTTGGCAACGTTGGTGGTCTGGCCAAATTGCTGCAAAACAGAGAGAAACATGAGGGTGCACATAAACTGTTTTAGGAAACTTGCTGAGAATCTCACATGAACTCCAGCACACAGTTCATTCAATATGTAGGACAATATTTCAGTAGCAGGCCAATGTTTGGCAACATGCACAGACTCACCCCAAAAAAAGATGTCCTGAAAATCAAAAGTGATAGGAAAATTTGCTTTAACATGGGCTTTATTTTGGAGAGCCCTCAGGGGAATGGGGGGCTAGGGAAAGTTGGTCAATGATGTAAGGCAATGAGGTTTTGTGGTTGGCTACACCATGCCACTCTGCATGGGAATATGAAAGGAATAGGGCTGGTAGATAATGGCTGGCTGTCTAGGAGCAATATAGTAATTGTTGAAGTTCCTGTCGCTGATGTAGGGAGCAGGTTGATAGTAGCATGTTACATTGGCTGCATTGGGAATGATATTCTGCTCTCCAAGCACTTTGAGAGCCAAGATGGTAATCATGTTCAGTGTCTGCCTTCGCTCGTGTCCCATAAGGCAGACCGTGCTCTCGTCCACAACCCCACGCAGAGTCATCAGGTAGTCGTACTTGCTCTTCCCTTCCCCAATGAAGTGATTGCGCAAGTATGACTCAATCTTCCGCTGCTGCTCTGTTACATCAGGGAAATCAATGAAGAATCTAGAACACATGTAACGTTCCAGTGATTTAATTTCTGCCTCATTTACTGGCTTAAAATCCCGAACCAGAAGGTTGCTATATTTCAAAAGGCCTCCGCCACGGATCTCTTCGGGTTTTTTTGTGGCAATCAGTTTGTACTTCAGGTGCTCCATGGCTTCATCGAAGTCTCCATACATGCTTTCAGCAATGATGGACAAATTAGAATCTTCTGACAGCTCACCATCTGCATTGCTATAGACATCTAACACAGGATTGAGGATTATCTGAAAGGAATCAACACTGAACTCAAACTGCCGTCGGAGAGAGTTGACAAATTTAAGCTCAACATTCTTCCCACTGTTGTTTGTCAAGGAGATAAGACTCCAGCGATCATAATCTGTAGACACTTTCACCATCTTCTGCACATAGGCATCCTTCATTGTCTTTGCTGTGATCTTTTCTTTGTTGACACCTTTTGGTAAGAAGTCTAAGATGCAATTAAGGACAGACTCCTTCACAACCTGAAATTGATGCTCATTTCGAAGCTCAGCAGAAAAAATGATATCCAGGTCCTTGTAGCTGGGACCATTTTGTTTTAAAAGGATGTGGCTTGCTGTGGAGCCATTCAGGCGTATGTCTTGGACAGCGATCTGATTTTTGATCAGCTGCTCCTTGACGGCACAAATGATGTATTTTGGCTTCACCTCCAACGTCGGGAAATTCCCTCTGCCATGAATGGGGATCACCTCACTTAGCACTTGATCCAGTATTTTAATCTGTTCCCAAGTGAGAAAACTGAATCTTGGATCTAAATCCTCAGTCATCATGAAATCAGCTGGTAAACTAAGAGGAAAACACAAAGGAAAAAGTCAGGGACATCTTAAAAAGCACTGACAGATCAAGCACTTCAATGACATGACAAATAGCACAGGGATTGATTGATTGATTGCCCCACCTCGGGTTTGGAAGGAAGTCCTACCCACCCAATCTAATTGGCTAGAGAGGGGTTCCTCCATTCATGTATTCAGTAGTTACATTGGAAGAGGGGCGATAGAATCATGCCTTATGGCCATAAACCTTGACCCCAAAATTACTGCTCACTATGTGTGTGTTAAGGCTGTCCTTGTTAAAGCTATCACTGAACGTGCAGTTCACAGAGGTACCAACAGTGCACAAAATCCTACTCTTTACTCATAAATACAATGGTTGTGTGGGGGAAAACATAACAAGAGCCCTCCTGGATCAGACCAATGGTTCACCTAGTACAGCAACCCATCCTCACAGTGGCCAATCAAACCTATGGGAAGCTCAAAAGCAAGATCTTAATGCAGCAGCACTCTGCCCACCTGTGATTCCCAGCAATGGGCCTAGACAGGCATACCAAGAGTGGAGATACATCATAACCATCATGGCTAGTATTAGGAGCTTGTATTATTATTTTTTGCTACAGTAGATAGGTAGGTAGGTAGATCTATCTATCTATCTCAGCCATCAAAAAGTGTGTGTATCAAGGGGGGAAATCCAAAAGAATGTCAGGTTTCTAATGCTTCCAACACAACATTGGGAAGGCATTGTTTTCCTGGAGGTTTATTATGGGTTGTTGTAAAATTAAGTGCCCCAGTGTTGTGCTTTTAAGTATGCACACTATGAATGTAATTAAGGGAAATTACAGTACTGTGCAATTAGAGGAAATTACAGTAATTAAGTACACAACCAAATATGGCAAATATGCAAGTAGATTTAAAAATAATAACAAATGTTCTGTAATGTCTATAGCATTGATTATTTACATTCAATGCTATATCATCTTGATATTGTGGATCTGTAATCTTTGTGCTCTTGTCCAATCAATTGTCTGCGCTATATTTTTATTTCATTTCATTTTTTGAAAAAATATTGTCCCGGTTTCCCCTCAAAGAATAAGAAATAAATGTTGCTTAGAGCACTCTTATTCAAAGTGGAAAATAAATTTGCCTTTCTTTATATTTTGTGAACACCTGATTATTGATTGGGGAATGGGAAGCAGGGTGGAGAGGGAGATGACAATGAACAGTAATGACAATTTGGCTTTTTCTAGTATCTTGTACATACCAGTAGATACCTAAAATGGAGTTTTAGGTGAGTAGGAAGTTGCCTAATACTATGTGAGACCATCCAGTCCAGTAGTGTCAACTCTGAAGGGCAGCAACTCTCTAGTGCCTTAGGCAGAAGTAAGTATTTCCTGACACTACCTGCTGATCTGATTAACTGGAACTGTCTGGGACCCAACACGGGTCTTTCTGCATGCAAAGCATGTGATCGACCACTGAGTAAGGGCAGTGGTGTTTGATTCCTGTTGGGACTGGTAGGGCATAAGAGAGGGAGACCAACAAGAGATGGACAAGAGCCAGAGCCAATGACAGGTGGAGCCCACTAATTCTAGTTTTGTTCTCATCCTCTTCCCTGCTTGGTTTTACAAAGGGCAACACTGAGCTGCAGAAGGATCAAGCTGACACGAAGGGATTATCACCTCAGTTGTTGTAAGAAAGAAGGCAGGCAGATGGGGGTAGGCAGAGGACATACTAAGGTTGATATAGCAGTATCCTATTTGCCCCAAAAGACCAGCATCCAATAAGCGGTAGCCTTCTTCCCTCACTGCACATATTTATCAAGTAATTTAAAATTATTTTATTGTGGTGTTTTTGGAATAGGATATTATGGTGAGGCATCTCAATACAATCTAAAGCCTTGCAGAACTGTGTCTGACTCAGATGTCTTTGTAGTGGAGCAGTGAAGCAATACACTGCATGGTGGGGGCAAAGAGACAAACTCATACAATGATATTGGATTATAACCAACTAAGTTCTGCTCAGGGTAGACCCACTGAACTTCTCATTTTCAATAGAACTGCTGAAATTAATGAACCGAAGTTAGCCATGAACATTGATTTCATTGTGTCTACCCTGAGTAGGACTAGCATTGGACACAACCTACAGTTATTTCATAGCACACCCAAGCTCAGATACCTTGCAGCTTGCATAGTAGCCTTGTTTCAGGGTGGTGTGAATCAGCAATTACTATTTGGAGGTGGAGTGAAGTGGATTCAAAGGTGCTTGCTACTACAGTGGTACCTCGGATTAAGTACTTAATTCGTTCCGGAGGTCCGTACTTAACCTGAAACTGTTCTTAACCTGAACCACCACTTTAGCTAATGGGGCCTCCTGCTGCCACCATGCTGCCGGAACACAATTTCTGTTCTCATCCTGAAGCAAAGTTCTTAACCTGAAGCAATATTTCTGGGCTAGCGGAGTCTGTAACCTGAAGCGTATGTAACCCAAAGTACCACTGTATAAGGAACGCAGAGCATCTCCATGGGTGGAAGATCAGAAGAGCTCAGAAGGCATCAGCTGACTCTATTTGGCTGTCCTTTTCTCCCCTAGGACATATCCCTAACTGTATCAAATAGGTTTCCTTGCACATGAAAATTATTTCTCCCTGTCCCACATTTTCATCTTTATATTCTTCTTCTAAATTAAATAATTTAGGCACCTAGTTCAAGATTTTGTTTCTGAAATTAAGTTGTGCCTTAGAATGGCTCGTCTCTAGCAAGAAAACAGAGATGAGGAAGAGTGGAGATGACATATAGAGAGAGACACCTGGAAAAGGTGTTTTGCTGCCATGGAAACCCAATATAATGGGTGCATGGCATGAAGTGTTAGGCCTTCAGAGATGCAATCTTCATGTTGCCTTGCAAGTTAGACAGTGCAGAAGCACCTGGCAAACTAGCTGGCTAGCTCTAGCAAACATTGGTTTTGTGCCAACAGAAATTAAGGATATTCTCTCTCCCTGCCTACTGAAACCCACACTGACACTTTCTTTACCAACCAATATTTATAATTCTAAATGTTATGGGCGTAACCTAAATTTGGAGAGATGTAGAAATGCTCAGGTGAATTTGAAACATCTAGTCTAATCAGTGGTGACTAATGGCCATTGGGGCTGGTGGTAGGCCTCAAGGCAGGGGGGCTGAACAGTAGGAGGAGCCAGAGCCAATGACATAGCCTGTTCTCCTCTCTACCATGTTCTATAACAGCAGCACTGAGACTATAGGCTGATAGCCAGTGGGCAAGAAGGCAGGCAGATGCAGTAGGCTGAGGGTGTTTTGGAGATAGTGGGGTAATCCCTCATTCAGTCTATATGAACCAGCCTCCACTAGGTTCAATGCAAGAGACAAAAATTAGCTTGCACTCTGAAGTGGATTTGAGAAATAAAGTTCCTATGCTCAATAAGATTTACTGCTGAGTAAGCTGCGGGTTAAACCACAGAGCCTAGGACTTGCCAGTCAGAAGGTCGGTGGTTCGAATCCCCACGACGGGGTGAGCTCCTGTTGCTCGGTCCCTGCTCCTGCCAACCTGGCAGTTCGAAAGCGTGTCAAAGTGCAAGTAGATAAATAGGTACCACTCTGGAAGGAAGGTAAACGGTGTTCTGTGTGCTGCTCTGGTTCGCCAGAAGCGGCTTAGTCATGCTGGCCACATGACCTGGAAGCTGTACGCCGGCTCTCTTGGCCAATAAAGCGAGATGAGCGCCGCAACCCCAGAGTCGGTCATGACTGGACCTAATGGTCAGGGGTCCCTTTACCTTTTAAGAACATTTAGGACCACATTGTCCCTAGCCTTTCTAGTCATTTAAAAATATTACAATTCCAGAATCCTCCAGCTAAAATATCCCCAATATATCTGAACAATTAAAAATAAAATAAATACAAATTTAAGAAAATCACCCACTTTGCTATTTGGAAGAGTCCTCTGGAATATGTTAAATGCCTCTTGATGTAGTGACTGAAGATACCTGGAATGCACCATATGAATCATGATGTGCTCAAATACTCTTAGGCAATTGTGTCTATGATTGCAAGAAAGATTTGGGCTCATTATGATTCATATGAGTCATTCTAGGCAGCTTCAAGCATCGCATCAAGAGATGCTTCTGAAGAGTGGGCATTGTGAGCTGCCTTGAAGTAGCATACAAATGCTCCTAAATGATTAAACACATTTCGGGATTTGCCAGGGAATCTCCAATCCTACCTCAACAGGCCAGCTTTGATAGTGGGCAGTGACTGGCAGGTGCGTTGCCCTTCCTGCCTGCCAAAGTACCTTGTGCAGCAGTTTTCAAGCACTTGGAAATGACAGTGCAAGGGCTTTGCCAATCCCATGCAAAGTACTGAGCAGTACTGCTTTCTGCAGGGATACAGTTGAGCAGTCTGGGGAACTCAGATGCACAGCTGATCTAGCACATTTCAACTCACCACCCACCAGCTGTTGAGAGGTGAATTCAAATCTACTTTCTGCATGATGCAGGGCCACATTTGCCCATGGACCAGAGTTTGCTGCATCTAATTCATGCCAGGACACATGATCCTATAATGGACCTAACAAATTTAAGTATTGACAATGCCACAGGGGTACCATCCATCGGTTCTACCTGCATCACTCTCAACGTGGTGCCTCCAATGCTCCCTGGCAGTTTACCTTGTAGAAGTGGGGCATGTGAACAAAAAGACCCTTGGCCCTCACCACGTCACATGAGCCAGGGTGTAAGAAATGGAAGCAGGCTAGAGCCAATCTCTTTTAATCATGGGCTTTGAAGACATGCTCCATTAAGCTAATTTCAACATACGTACTGCGGTTGTTTGTTTACTCTCTTATCTCATGGTAGTACATGGACTGCTGCTGCAAGCTTTCCATGCCATTATCGTCCTATATCTCTTACAAGACTCATGGTAACCAAAAACCATATGCCCCTAACCTACCTGATGGGGGGCAGGAAGAAGAGAGAAAAAGAGTCAGCTGCTTGGAAGCCAATGGTCTTGGGGAAATGTGCAATATTGATTTTCTACCATCTGAAACAAGCAGTAGCCAGGTTGTTAGCCTGAACAGAAGGCCACTAGGTAGCTGTGGTTAAAAATCCAAGTCCTGGTTATAGCTTCATCTATGGCAGGGGTGGAGAATCTTGGGCCCCAAGGGCCAAATGCAGCCTTCTAGGGCTCTCTGTCTGGTCCTCTCCGTAGGCTACACCCTTCGTGCGCCCTGCCCTCCTTGAGTGTTTGTTGCCTGGCTTGAATGTGTCCCTGAACCCTGATAATGCTCCTTGGTGGCAGATAGAGAGGCTTGTGTGATAGTAAGTATAGAAGCTAGCCTACAATATAAGGGGGGAAATGTAAATTAATTGCTTTTCCCCACCCACCACTGGCATGTGGCCCTCAGAAGGTTGCCCAGAAGGGACTGTGGCCCTCTGGCTGAAATATATTCTGTACCCCTGAGCTGTGGCTAGAATCACATGGACATTTACCAGGAGCAAGGCCCTCTCTTGCAATCCCTTGATTATGGAATGCTGCTCCCAAAACACATTCACCAGGCGCCACCATTAGCATTGTTTAGGTACCAGGTTAAAGCTGGTTTACATTGGCAAATATTTTGATGGTATTTAACTCTCTTGTCTTCTGGATTTTTATATACTATTCTAATTGTAACTAGGGCCATACCTGTGTGTTAGATAGAGCACATATTTTACCTGCAGGAGTTCCCAGTCCTCTCCAGGTTAGTAGATTTGGTAGTTGATGATGCAGCAAGTGATGGAAAAGACCTCTGTCCTTGGAGAACTTGCATTGCCACTGCTACTCAGGATAGACAGTACTCGGTGGGATGGATCTGGTATGAGATAACTTCTCCAGTCAGTGCATTTTTTTATTTAACTGTATTTTTGTAGCCTTTAAAAATGCATTTAAGTTGCCTTAAATATTACAGCATCTTCCACCCAAACTGATTTTGAGCAATACTAATGGGGAACATTAATATTAAGCCTTGTTTAGTATATTAAGCAGCCTTATTTAAGAGTTGCATTGAACTCAGCAGTACTTACTTCTGGGTAAACTAGCACTTCCCACCCACTTCAGAAGAAATGTGAAGCAAATAGCACCAAGCCATCAAGTTACATGGTGATGGCCAGACCCGACCAAACTAAAACATCAATATCTACAAAGCATGACTGCTCATAAAAACATAGCTAAGCACTGGACAGAATCTGTCCTTACTGTTTCTGAGGCCCCTCCCATCTGATTCTGAACCCTTTTTCACACAGTTGAAATCTGGGAATATTTATTCCTAACAGCCTCATATCTGTTGTTGTTTGGGAAGTATAAGGAACAACAACATAAAAAGCGCACTTCAGTTTCAAAATCAGTGGTTCAAATCACTGATGCTTTGATAGGCTCAGCCCACCATCTTGATTTAAAATAGCATCCAGTTCTATCCAAATATAAATTTACTCCTTGAGCTTAGGAACCACCATGAAAAATTTAGCTATAATATTTTAAGAGGTGTCCAAATGCAAACAACTTTCCAAAATACATAGTAGACATGGAGGGAGAGTAGAATTGCCCTTGCTATTCTGACTCCTGTCCTGACTTCCACATATTGCTTATTTCTGAATGGAGTCTACACATGTGCAGATTAAATAAGTGCAGCTGTTCACCCCATGATGGGGAACCTTATAGAGCATCAAATTGCACCTACCACTTCCTCAGGCTCTATGCACAATGGAATGGTCAATGTGTAGAGATCAGGAGTAGAGACAAAAGGTGTGTCCTCACTCCTGTTCCATGTGTTTTTCTTTATGTTATTAGTCTGCATTCTGATGCTCCAGAGAGTAGGAGCCAAACCAATGGATTCAAGATACAAGAAAGGCGATTCCAGGTAAATGTGAAGAAGAACTTTCTGGTGGTAAGAGCTGTTCAACAGTGGAACAGACCTCTTCAGAAGGTGGTGGACTCTCCTTCCTTAGAGGTTTTTCAGCAGAAGTGGGGTGGGGGTGTTGTACTAGGTGATCCATTGAGTACCCTCCAACTCTTCAATTCTATGATTCTATGTTGAGTATTCCCATATTTCAATAATCAGAAAAGGGCTCTCGAGGACTAGGTAACTGCTCTTTTTAAATAAATAAAAATAGACCATTTTTTTTAGCATTCAATGATCTCCACAGCAGAGGCCATGCTCTCCACAACCCATCTTCCTAGTACCCGATAATGACATTCATATAATACAAAGTCCTATTGTGCTTGAGTGCATTGTGTAGAACAGGATTGGCTATTGTTTCTAAGCCCAGGGAGCACATTGCTAGGCACCCACCTCTCTGAGGGCCATATTCTAGCAGTGGGAGTAACCACTGTATGCATACACACACTATACTTTCAGACCACATACACCTGCCACACATGCCCCCCTCTCACACACATGTACATATGCATATGCACACACCCACAAACACCCACCATTTCCAGCTCTCCCCACTCCAAATCTGTGGTGGCCTTTTACTTTGTAAAGATCATGCTCAGAAAAGTAAGAGGTAGTATTTCCAGCCTGACATACACACACCCCTCCAGTTTTGCTAGCTGGGGGAGGGGGAGGGAAATCAAATTTATCAAGCTCCTATTGAGACACCTGTTGGTTGATGAGCTTTGTTCACATGTGTCCTCTGCCCCAAAAGACAGAAAGAAGGTGGGATTAGCTTGGGGTAGAAATAATATACCTGAACATTTCTCCCTGATGTAACCCAGAAAGCTTGCACACTTATTATCTAACTTACAATTGGGCTTCCGTATATATTTTCTACCTCCTATTGCAAGAGCTTAACCGTCTTAGCAGAGTCTCCACTGAGAAATAAACAGATTCAAACTTACGATAGCTGGATTTTTGCCAAGTATGCACAGCCGAAGAGTCAATGTGATGAATCACTGGATCCTTTGGCAAAAATATGAAATGCACATCTTGTCACCGATGAAAGCGTGAACCTCCCAATGAAATGCTGTGGGATAAGAACAAACAGTAACATGGCTTTTTGAAACCTGAGTAGTCAACCTGCTGTACTAAGTTTTGGACAAGTTTCTAGACTTGCAGTCATGATATTGCCCTTCAAAGACATAGGTGAGATCAGTGATTTGTCAAACACAAGTGTTTGGGGGTAAGCTACAGCCCCCAGGGTTCTTTGGGGGAAGCCATGCGCTTGAAATGTGTGTTAAATGTTATGGTGGGGAAATGACTTAAGCTTGGCCCCATCTGCACTATACATCTAAAGCCATATCATACCATCCTAACGGTCATGCCTTCCTCTGTTGTAACCTCCAGGCACACCTTCCAACATTCCTCTGATGAAAATCAGAGCACGTGTCTTTTGGTGCCATGCTCTCACATGAACCAGCTGACCTGCGTGAGCGAGCAGCAGCACTGCAAGTGCCAGCATCAACTGCTAGTGCTGGCTCATCCTCCTCCCTGAGCTTGGTGGCGGCAACACTAGAGGAGCAAAATGGGACATTCCAGGATCAAATCAGAAGCTGGGATGGCTTCTGTAATTCTGGGGATGTCCTGGGAAAATCGGGACACTTGAAGGGGATGTATGCGTGTGGTAATTATTAACAGCCACATTGTTACTGACGTGGTCTTGTGAGTAAGTCCTAACTGTTGCTTGGCAGATGGGAGTTTCACATTTAAGCTTTGTAGTGATTTAGCATGGTCATTAAGAAAGCTGAGCCACACCTTCATACAGAAGCAACTGGCAATGGCATTCAGCAAATCTTATTTATGCTACAGGTGGAAAAGGCTTGCAATGCATATTGAAGCAAAGCTCCTCACTTTGGCCCCATCCATCATTCTCTCCTCGTCTTTCAGCAGCATGGTAATAACGTCAGCAGTGACATTTCAATCCATTCTGGCCATAGGAAAAAGTAGCAGCATTGTGATTTTTCGGTTCTAGCAGTTATCCTCTTTCCTAATGCAACTGAAACAGACTTTGAAGCAACACCAGCAGATAGTGGTGCAGTTAGGTGACTTTGGACTGTAGACTTAATTGTATTGAGATGTATCCTTTAGGTGGCAATATGCTCTATTTCAGTTACTTGAAAATGTAGAAAGCTGGTCCTGCTGTGTTTAAGGGCTGCCCTGTTCATTCTGCTCTGAAGTCCTACCCTGATGGCAACATTGCTTGCATAACGAACTTTATGTGGCTGTAATAAGACCAGAAAACACAAAGCAGTACAAACAGGTGTAAAACTTTCTTGTGTCAATCTATCCAGGGTCATTAACTGTCAGCAAGAAGAAGCTGATCATGTTGAGCGAAGGATGTGAAATCAATGGAATCAGGGCTTTCTGCAGAAGGAGCTGGCTTAAGATTTAGAAATCAAACTACAAAGCAGAATTCCTCTGGCAGGATTTGCACGCGCTTAGGTAGAAGGTATCAAAAGACACCCCCAACACCTGTTAAATTTGTTTCACAAAGCAGAATCACCCCAATATATATGTTCCAGAAAACCAAGTGCCCGTACAAAGAGGAGGATCCTTGATGAGTCTCTCACAGAGCCATAAGTCCAGAATTTCCTGGAAATTGCCGAGATTTTGCCACCGGAAACAGTGTCCAGGTGAGAATCGCTTAAATCTGGACATGTGGCAACCCATGTGTTGTAAGTGGGCTCTTCCCCCCCTCCGAATTTCCTTTAAAATAGCTCAACAACTTTATGGCAACTTTACTTAACCCTGTGATAGAAAATGTATATTGTGCCAATGTATGAAGTATCCTTGTTTGGGGCAGTTCCATTCAAACTTGTTCTATGGGTGCTGACTTACTGCAGTAGAATAAACTAGGGAACTACTGGGTGCCTTACTTTATACTCCCTGGTCTTGTCTTTTATTTAACATCCCTACCTGGGAAACAAACTGCTTTAGTGGACTCCCTTAAAAGTTCTGCATTGCTTCAGGTATGAATCTGTGGTGGGTATCCCCTGGGGCAGGAACAGGGTAAATCTAGGGGCTGCAGATTTTTGGGCCACAGGGTGGGCTGGGGGCCTATGCACAGCCCTTCAAATTTTTAAAAATAGCTTTCACAGAGGCTAAGCTTTCTGCACAGGCTAAGAAAATATTTCTCTTCATGACTTGGTGATTTCAGCAGATTGACAGGTGGGTGGCCTTATCTCCCTGCCAGAATGGCCTGCAGGGTTTGAGGGAGGTCAAGATCCAGCCCGCCAGCCAGCCACACTTGGTTTCCTACCCCTGCTATGTATGAATAGCCAGCTCATTCAATGAATATGGATATTTTTACGTAGTCAAAAAGGCACCATCCACAGACAACAGAGAGGTACCAGCAGACTCCAGTGAACTCCAAAGTGTGCAGAAGCAGGGACAAAGGGGAGGAAGTAAAGCTCAGTGACCATAGTCATGGGATGCTGGCTGGCTGGTAGAGTGGGCAGTATTTGGGGGAAAAGGCATGGCTGCTGGACCTCTGAAGCCCTAACAGGAACACAGGCATATTATAACGTTTTGTTGCAGATCCCACCACTTTCACTTATAGCCCACCTTCAAGTTCAAGACCATGAATTTCAGAGTCTAAAACAAGAGTGGGGAATCTTTTTCAACTAAAGAACTGCAATTCCTTCTAAGGCAACCTTCTGGGTCCACTTGCAGTGACTGGCAGGGTGAAAGACAAAAGTGGTCAGTGGGATAAATGTCCGTCTTTGCTTTGTACAATAGACTAGTCTCTGTCAGGGCAAGCAGATGTCATTATCAGAGTTTTAGGATGTATTCTAGCCAGACGAAAACACTCAGTCAAGGTTAGGAGGTTGGGTGGGAGGATGGATAGCAGATAGGACCTAGAAATATATCAAGGGTCAGACAGAGAGGCCTGGGTCTGAATTTCTCTACCCTGGTCTAGCGTGGAGTCAGATGGAGGTGAAAATTAGTGGGCTTCATTTTAATACCGTTGCTTCAGGTGGAAAAGCAATTGCAGTCTGCATTGGCTAGGATGTGGCAATTCACTCACTGTTTGTGTGTTCAGAAGTACTTTCTTGCTTTTGCATTATGACACAAGTTATAAAGCAGAGCCCCCTTCTGAAGCTTCAGAGCAAATTCTGCATCTGAGTTCAGTTTAAACTGTGTTTGCTTTCTAACTGGCTGGGAAACGCAACAAAAATAAATACTGCTGTTTAGAGTCAATGTTGCTGTTTTGAACCATAGCTCCTGCTATGGTAAAATAATAAACAGTTAAGAAACAGAAGTGCAGATGAATTCATCAAAGTGACTGCTCTTTTCAGCTTGCTGATTCATCGTAGGCTTTGGGGGCACAGAGACAAGATAAAGACAATTCAAGTCATATAAAAAGAAGGGGAAAATAAAGAACATGGAATAATTTTAGAGGCGGAAACTCTAGCTTGTTTGCCCCTCAGTGCCAAATGTTTATACAGCCTCAACCCACCTGTGGCTGTAAGGGGAAATTATTCCAACATCTCTCTCCAGCTTCTAACAGCTTCTCAGAGAACCAAATCATTTTGACCAATGATTCATTTATGAAAATTTATTGTCATCAAAGCACCATGGGGAGAATTGGCATGACAAACTTGAAAGGACTGAATGAAGCACATTGGGATGGCTAAAATAAGAAAAATGGGAGAGAAGGTGGCAGGAGAAAGTTGACCCTGTGGATAGGAAGTTATTGAAGAATTAGTGCTAGAAATCTGAGTTTACAGTGCAAGTTGAATAAGTGAAAGGCAAAAGTACTGCCTTGACTTCTGCTCATAAAACCACTTATTTCACACCCCCACACCCCCACAGACATCCACTACAGAGAAAATAAATGTAAGGCTTTAAAGGACAATAGTGGCAATGGATGTTATAGAAAGTGCTCTTGAACCTTGGATTCCCAGAGGTCTAAAGCTCCTATCATCCCCAGCAAGCTTAATCGATGGTCAGGGGTGATGGGAGTTGAAGTCCAACAGCATCTGAAGACTTAAGGTTGAATAATTCTGTCCACTCTAGAAGCAAATGCCCCTGTTTTTCACTGCTTACACACTTGCATGCACCCATGCACACACGCCCCTGTGATATAAGAATTCAGTGGCCTTCCTAGTATCACGTAACACAAGTGAAATTCTAGGGCAGAAAAGGGGTTGGTCAGATCTCTCTAGCATCCAAAACTATTCAGAGCTTGGAAATACTTTTCTAAAGAGACCCAGGGATCTTAGCAGATTTTGGGGTTCTAAAACCCTAACTTGGCCAAAAGCACCAGTGCTAAATGCACATGCTTAGTATGTGCAAGGTAATAGTCTCAATTTCAGTGACAGAGTTTCAAGTAGAGGGGCTGGGAAAGTCATCTTCCTGAGAGACATTGAAGAACTTCTGCCGAGAATATTGATTGATTGATTGCATTTACATCCTATCTTTTTGTCCAAGAAACTAAAGGTGGTGCACCTGGTTCTCCCCCTGCTCATTTCATCCACATAAGAATCCTGTGAGTTGGTTTAGGCTGAGAGGCAGTGACAGGCTCAACATCACCCAGTGAGCTTCATGGCTGAATGGGAATTTGTACCTCCATTTCCCAGGGCTTTATCCAACAGTCTAACCACTACACCATACTGACACTCTAATAGTAAATGACCATGGACTAGATGGACTAATGATCTGACTTTGCATGCATAAAGGGGTTTTGCAGGTTCAATAAAATGAGTCTACAGTCCATTGATGAATCCAAATGTATCTTGAGAAGTCTCATAATCCAAAACTCAACAGGTTCCTAGTTAGTCCCAGGGACGAATAATGTCATAGCACTCACCATTTTATATACTTACAAATATGCAGATTTCTTTAAAACTAAAGGTAGTCGGTGGACTTTTAGAACGTGTAGTGCTTTAGAAGCCATTTAGCAAAAGGGAACATATATTTGCCAAGGGCTATATATGAGGCTCAAGAAGTGTACAGCATCCAGAAAGACTGGAGAATAAAATGGTTGTTAGTTTGGTAGGGTTGCCATATTTTGAAGATCAAAAAAGAGGATGCTATGACAGCTATTCAAAGCAAATAAATGCAATTTGTCTCAAATTTTACCCCTGAAAAAGAGGACAGGTCCTGGAAAAAGAGGACACATGGCAACCCTAATTTGGGGTCTTATATAAAGCTCAGGGGCTGTACATGGACAGAAACCTTTTATGCAAACGCATGTCCATGGATTTTGTATAACTCTTTAAGAGAATGACATTTACCTACACAATATAGCTTTACCAAAACCTTGTAGAAAACTTCAGAACATAATTCATGGAATCAATATGCAAAGGGCAGATCCTCTATAGCATCGAGAGTTCCCACAGAAAATGTAAAACTCCTATAGTATCCAAAGCACGAGAGCAAGAGGGAGAAAGAATGCTTATATATACCACTTAAAGATTATACAGCATGCCTAGTCCTTCAACGTGTGCACACCTCTGTAGCTCAAATGGTCTTTTATAGCTCTTATACATGACTCAAGGATTCTTTAGCCCACATGCACATCTTGCAAAGGATCTATAATAGTATTTAGGAAGTCCTGCAGTCTGGAGACCTTCTATAGTTACGAACATTTTTACTCAAAAGCAGACTTTAAATGAAGGAGGGGGGACCGACCCACATGACGCTGACACAAAAACCTTGCACGTAGACTATGTAAAATAACGAAAGTTTACTACCCCCCCTTCTCTCTTCCCCGTTCTATCTCCCCAACCTCTCTTCTCCCCCAATCTCATACTGTCTATAACATTAGTGTCTAACATTGAATGTAAACGATCCACAGAAAGGACTCTATCAACTGAAAGCAGAGACGCTGTATGTACTTTCGTTACCCAAGAAAAACTTCAGTAAAAACATTTTTTAAAAAGCAGACTTCATAGAGCATCCCGTTAGCATATACCAGCCTCTATTCTTTAATCCAAAAAGTCAACCCCGGATAATTTCTAAGGACGCTCTAGAAAGTCCGAAAGATACCGGGGATCTCAGACACTACACAGAACCCAGGGATTCTTTACACATAGTAAAGAATTGCACACCCTACGGCTTCAACTCCTTCCCTCTTCCCTTTTCCATGTTATATGCTACGGATGGAATTCCCATGTTCAAAGACAGCATCCCTCAGTTTTCCATTTTCGGGGGATGAGGACAAAGCACCAGAAGTTAGACACTTCCAACCCACGCTTCCTTGCAACCAACGGAAAGCCAATGGAACTCAGCTAGAAAACAATGCGACTGGAACTTGAGCATCTCCCAACACTTTGATGGGCTGCGGCCAAAGGTCTTACACCAGTCGGCAAAAGTGATATATGCTCAGTTAAACAATTGCTGGGCTGCTAAACCTCAAGGAAGTTCATCCAAGCCCCCAAAACAACCGAATGCACGGACGCGCTGTCCTCCGTCTCTATAGAACTATATGCAGAACTACGTCCAAAAGACAAACCCTATGTGAGGGTATAGTTTCTAGGTTCCTTACGCTCTAGTGTTATTCTGAATGCCACGCACATTTATGCTGGTGACAACAACGAACGATCACAACGAACAACCTGGAGCGCCAGAGGCGACTCCAGAAACATATGCCTCTGAGCTACCTTAAAAGGAACCCCTTCGTGTAGACCTTTTCCTTGCCTCGGTCAAGCACTTACCGAGTTGGCCTCGTGGAAGCGGTAGATCCTGGTCCCCCTCTCCCCCTCAGCGTCCCTCAAGCCTGCAGGCGAGAGAATGGCAAGGCGCACCCCTCACAGCCCTTGTCCTCCCTCCGTTTCCCTTCGGGGATGGATCAGTTGGAGCTTGTGAGGGCGCCAGGGGGAGAGATAAGTCCACAAGGGCTCCGCCTCCCGCCAGTCCCCCTCGGAGCCAAGGGGGGGAGGGAAGCCCGAAATGAGGGAACGGGAGGGGAGGGAGGGGGGAAAGAAAAGCGGAGACTCTGCGCCGAGGCTGCTGTCCGCGGCCACGGCGGTGCTGAAATGCGCCCCGTGCCTCTCCTCTGGCTCAGCCGTTGTAGCGTAAAAGAGTGGTCATGGCAACTCCGCGTCACACAGTTTGAGGTGGGGCTGCCTAATGGGTTTTCCTCCTTGCTGTGTGCCCGTGGGAGGCGGCAGACAGAGTCCGTGGGGGTTAGGACACCCGACCCCCCCACCGCAGGGAAGGGGGAAGCCCAGCGATCCGCCTCGTTAGTTAGCCTGTCAGTTTCTGCCTGGTTAATTTCACTCCCGTCCAAGGCTTCCCTACTCACCAGAGACCCCACTTCTCTTCTTCTTTTTTTAAAAAAAACTGCCGGTATTTTAAAAAAAGGGGGGGACAATGTTTTTTCTTTCCGGATTCCCGGTTCTACGAGAAAGGGCATAGCTTGAAGCAGGACATCGTACCCCCCCTGCACCTGTTTTCAAGCCATAATTATTGTGGGTTACAATAAAGAGGGGAGAGAGAGAGATTCAGGTCATATGGGGTGTATGATTGTTTTCACCAATGGGCAACCACAGCTGGCCCGTCGAAATTGAGATTCTGAGAAACCTTGCCGGAACCCTGGGCCACAGCCTCCGACTAGCCTTATTTTGCATCCTCCAATATATTTGTGGGTGGCGCTGTGGGTTAAACCACAGAGCCTAGGGGTTGCAGCTCAGAAGGTCGAATCCCCGCGGGGTGAGCTCCCGTTGCTCGGTCCCAGCTCCTGCCAACCTAGCAGTTTGAAAGCATGAAGTGCAAGTAGATAAACAGGTACCGCTCAGGCGGGAAGGTAAATGGCGTTTCCGTGTGCTGTTCTGGTTCGCCAGAAGTGACTCAGTCATGCTGGCCACATGACCTGGAAGCTGTACACTGGTTCCCTCGGCCAGTAAAGTGAGATGAGCACTGCAACCCCAGAGTTGTCCGTGACTGGACCTAACGGTCAGGGGTCTCTTTACCTTTACCAGTATATTTGCCTATCTGGAATGTCTTATCATCTCATAATGCCTTGGAGATGCAGTGTGTGCATGTTTAGAAACAAGACTGCTCAGCAAAGGTAAAATTCGCTTTAGCTGACCATCCTATTTTACCTCTCGTCCTGCTCACCACTGGCAAGTGCCCCCCCACCCCAAAAAAGCTATCCAGAAGAGAATGCAGTCCTCAGACTGAAAAAGTTTCCCCATCCATGATCTATTACAGTGGTACCTCGGGTTACATACGCTTCAGGTTACATACACTTCAGGTTACATACGCTTCAGGTTACACACTCCGCTAACCCAGAAATAATGCTTCAGGTTAAGAACTTTGCTTCAGGATAAGAACAGAAATCGGGCTCTGGAGGCGCGGCAGCAGCAGGAGGCCCCATTAGCTAAAGTGGTGCTTCAGGTTAAGAACAGTTTCAGGTTGAGAACGGACCTCTGGAACGAATTAAGTACTTAACCCGAGGTACCACTGTACTAGAAATTGAGGAGAGCTGGTACTTCGAGACTGCCTCATCAATGCGCTTTGTGTCTGAAGCCCATTACCGGCCATGGACTGGATCACTCCCACCGAGATTGTCTGTGGAAAGGACTGGCACTGTGCTGGTCCTGGGGGGTTACCGTGTGGCGTGGTCCGAGGCTGATGTGGGGTCCAAGGTAAGGAGCCGGGCATGGTCAGGAACTCTGGAAGAGCAGGTCAGGGTGCTGACAGGAACAGATTTCCAGCGATAACTGGGCTGACTGGCCTTTATCTCCTCTGAGGCCTAGGGCGGTCCCGTCTCACAGGTGACCCGCCTCCCCTGGCCTTAAGGCGAGCACTCCTCCTGGGAGAACTTAGTTCCCTCCGCTTCTCTGCCCTGAGCCTCTGCAGCTCAGGAGAGGCTGGAGGGTTACTGGACCCAGAGGCAACCTCACCTTCCCCTGACAGGGCTGGGAGAGGAGCACCTGCAGCCAATGGGTCCTCGATCACTTCCGAAGCCAGAGCAGATTCAGCTGGTGTCTGCTCCTGAGGGCCCTTCAGATTCAAGCCCCTGCCCCGGCTCAGCCGGCCCTGGAGGCGGGGACTCCTGTGTGCAGGCTGGGATTCCTCTGGTTCAGCCTCTGAATCAGATTCCCAGGCCATCACAGGCACAATGCAATGCCAGAATTCACATCTGCGCATGTCCGCGGCACAGGAAATTGCTTCTGCGCATGCCCAGATGCCAAAAATCGCACCTGCGCAGAAGCAATTTTTGGCGTCTGAACATGCACAGACATGATTTCCAGTACAGTACCTTGGGTTACAGAGACTTCAGGTTGCATTTTTTCAGGTTACGGACCACCAAAACCTGGAAGTACTGGAACGGGTTACTTCCGGGTTTCGGTGGTCGCGTATGCGCAGAAGTGCTAAATCGCACTTTGCACATGCACAGAAGCGCCGAATCACAACCCGTGCGTGCACAGATGCACCACTGTAGGTTGCGAATGCTGCGGTTGCGAACGTGCATCCCGCACGGATCACGTTCGCAACTCGAGCAACCACTGTATCTGCATGTGCGCAGATGCAATTTCCAGTGCTGCTCAGCGAGTCCCTGTGCTATGCCGGTTTAGCGCAGCGTGCGGGGGACTCACTGAGCAGGCAGCTCTGTTCAGCTCATGGGCCGGTAAAACGGTCTTCGTGGGCCGCATGTTGCCGACCCCTGCTGTAACCTGAGTAGAGGGTGTGGCTTGAGTTTGACCTGAGGAAAGTTCTGAGGGCCACGCAGAGAGGACTGGAGGACTGCATTTGTCCTGAGTCAGGGGTCAGCAAACTTTTTCAGCAGGGGACCAATCCTCTGTCCCTCAGACCTTGTGGGGGACCAGGCTATATTTTGAAAAAAAAGAAAAGAATGAATTCCTATGTCCCACAAATAACCCACAGATGCATTTTAAATAAAAGGACACATTCTACTCATGTAAAAACATGCTGATTCCTGGACCGTCCGCAGGCCGGATTTAGAAGGCGATTGGGCCGGACCGCCCCGGCTTAGTTGCGGCAGAGCCTGAGTCTCAGCAATAGTCTTAGCAATAGGCGCGATCATGGGCCCGAGCCCCAAAATTTTTGGGCACCCCCATAATCCGGGCGCCCTTCAGCGAGCGCTCTCGCCCCTCCCACCTTTGCGCCTAGCCAGCACGCGCGCCCTATGTCGATCCCTGAGATTAGGGATCCTGAGGTTCCTCAGCAACCAGTATGCTATTAATGGATCCCAAGGCTAGCTAAGCTGTAGTCACTGAGGAAACTTCTAGAAATATAGAGCTATTCATTTGAACATTTTTATAAGTAAGAAAACTCCCTCCTGATACAGTGGTACCTCGGGTTAAGAACTTAATTCATTCTGGAGGTCCGTTCTTAACCTGAAACTGTTCTTAACCTGAAGCACCACTTTATTTAGCTAATGGGGCCTGCCGCTGCGCTGCCACTGCACGATTTCTGTTCTCATCCTGAAGCAAAGTTCTTAACCCGAAGTACTATATCTGGGTTAGCAGAGTCTGTAACCTGAAGCGTATGTAACCCGAGGTACTACTGTATAAGAATTAGAGACCAAGGATGCAGATTTTTTATTTATTTTTAAAATGTTCCAATATTAATTGCATTTAAACTTTGAGCAGGGTGCATCCATGTGTGCCTGCATTTTGTGACACTCATGCCTCCCCCCTTCACTGCATTCCATCTCTCCTATCTGACCCTGAAAGCGGCGCAAATGATAGGATGTTTTCCTATGTTGTGAGTTAGCACCAGCATCGCCTCAAGAGGTTCCAGGGACAGATATGGGAAAGCCTGGTTGTCTAGACACCTGCCAGATAAGTTGTAGGCTGAGACCACATGTTTTGAAATACACCAAGGAAGTTGATACCAGTGTGAAGTCGTGTAACTTTATATTCTTTGATCTGTAACCTTTCTTTACGTATGTAGTAAGATATTTGGTGTTTTATGACTCTGTTGGTTTCTCTCCCTATGAATCCTTGTTCTAATTCTCCTTGTGGCAGACTTCTTAACTGGCAGTTTATCTATAACAACCACGTTAAGTTGAGCCCTGACCTATTGCAATAGTTACAATAAACGCTGGTTCCCTCGCTGGATTTGAATTAATTTCCTTAGCTCTGTGTTTTATTTAAAAGGTTGTTTCTCACCTGGGTAAGGAAAAAAGTGATGTAGAAATAAATTCTTGCCACACTCCCAAATTCCAGGTTTGTGCTTTCCAGGCCTTTCTTTGGGTAACTTAAAACCACCTCAGCAGGAACGTCTTGCAGCCAAAATGTTCACCCCACCTTACTGACTTTTGAGATTGAAAACTCTGTAAATATTGGCAAGCACATCAGGTATCATGCCCGCTTCTTCTTCTGTTATGGATTGAGAATTGATGGGGGGGGGCAGAATGCATCCCACCTTCTCTCTCTGCTTATATCTGAATTAAGGTGACAGGAAATAATGAAGGAACTGTGATGCAAGAGGGGTGATGGCTCATATCTCAGGTTAATACTACTGTACTATTGCAATGTTATCAAACACTTGTAATAGGCCAATAGACATTGGGCAGGGAGATGGGGCCTAGGCTAAGGGAGAGATAACACACCCTGCATGCAGGTGGTCCCAGGTCCAGACCCTGGCTTCACCACTTGAGCAGATCAGGTAACAGTGGGTTGGAAAGGCATCGGTCTGAGATCCTGGAGAATCACAGCAGATCAGTGTTCTTGAATCTCAGGTCTCCAATGTGATAGGACTACAACTCCCCCAGTCTGAAGCCAACTTAGTTAATGGTCAGGGATGATGAGCGTTGTTGGTGTCACAGAGTAATGCTCTTCAACCT